TATAACGCGGTCCAAATAATCCTGGATACTGTACTGCTTAAGTATCTGAAGTAGTAGCCAATCGGTGGTCGCGCGGTGAACGTTGTCCAAGAATCAATTGCGTATACGTGATGGACTTTTATGGTACCAACCCTGTCGGGTATTAAGGCTGTTGTTTATAGTCGTAGCGGGATAATTGAATGAGTAATTGTGGAAAGGGAGCCGCTGCGGTCACAAAAAGCATCACCGTGGCGGCCGCAACCGATGGACGATGCCACTGATGGCCGCACGGAGGGCACGGGTTTTGTCGAAGACATCGGGTCGTTTTTCCGTCGTATCACTAAAAATAGTCGATATGCCTGTCGCTAATGATGTTCGACATGACCGTCAAAGGATGGATTACCTCCGCGGCAACTCCGCAATTGAATTTGATATTTAACCCATTCGTTATGACACCCTTATGTCACTCCAAGCGAATACAACGATTTAATAACTGTTTCAAGTTTTATTTTTTGTTCCGGTAATATTTTCTGAGAGATCACAATCTAGATCAATTTCTTCTTAAAACTTCCATTAACTTCGTAGGTTCAACCTAGCAATTTATTTTTTAAATTATTAAGAAAGGTCATCAAAAAATTTACCCAACTTTAAATTGAAGAATTCACCCTCCCAACAACCTTTCTATTACCTGTCCTCAACTTCCATCAAGCCGATTACGTCTGATAAGCCCAAATCACCGGCTTCTAATTCCACCCTTTTCACCACCAGACTCCAATCCGACCCGATCACAAACGGTACACCTATTGTTAAATAAAGAACCCCAGTAAAAAAAAATATGAGAAGAAGAGGTATTTCGTGAACCTGTCGCCCCATATGTTCTCAAACTCGGGTGGTACAAATTACAATAATTATGATGTAACACATGGCGTACGCTAAGAAGTTCCCAAAACCACCGTTCGACGGATCTCAAGAAGGAGAAGGATAAGTTCACGGAAGGCACCTGCCTCCATGTAAACGCAAACATTCCCTTTTTCTTTCTTACCACTTTTTTTATTAATGTGCCTTATGTTTCCGCCCTTTGACTAGGTTATTGGATAAATATCTCGTTATGTTACTAATTGGATATGAATGGAAAGAAACAGGTGAGATGGCATTTGTTGTAAAGGATTTTTCGTTTCTTTTATTCTTTTCATTTGTATTTATTTTTTTAATCGAAGTAGTCAGGATTTTCTGGAGAGTTTAGGTAGTTTTGCTATAAATTTCATCTTTTTGTGTTTGAATATCATTTATCAAAGTATCAAAGTGTCAACAACTTTTTAATTTACGTTTATCCAAACAACTTTGTGTTCGATATGGACTTCCGAGACAAACGGTTTCTTTTACACACTGACGTGAGGTAGTTGTCAGGTGAAGAAGTATTCAGTCGTGTATTAGAGCTATGACAAAAAATTGTTGTGTTTTTTGAATAAATGAGAACTCAATTTTATCTTTTTAGCTTCTGGCACTGTGAATTTTGAACTTCCAGGTTACAATATTTGGTTTATATATTTCAGCACCTCAAGAACTGAAAGTGATTTTTCAAAACGGCTTTTTGCATTAAAAAGAGGATACTTTAATTAATAATTGGTGATATTTCCACAAGGATCCTTCAAGGAATTAATTTTATAGCGAATATTGAAAGTTATCGATGAAAATTACATCGAAAATTTGATCAAAACTTCAAATATTGTTTTCTCAAAAACTAAAAGTTATTTTTCAAAATGGGTTGATTCATTGGAAAGAGGACGCTTTTATTAACACTTTAGGAAATTTTCATACTCATATCCCAAGAACTGGATTTTATACGAATTTTTAAAACTTATTCGGCGAAAATTGTAAAATTCGAAAAAATTGTCGATCATTTCAAAAATTTATTTCTCAAGAACTAAAAGTGATTTTTCAAAACGGCTTTTTGCATTAAAAAGAGGATACTTTAATTAATAATTGGTGATATTTCCACAAGGATCCTTCAAGGAATTAATTTTATAGCGAATATTGAAAATTATCGATGAAAATTACATCGAAAATTTGATCAAAACTTCAAATATTGTTTTCTCAAAAACTAAAAGCTATTTTTCAAAATGGGTTGGTTCATTGGAAAGGGGGCACTTTTGTTAATACTTTGGGAAATTTTCATACTCATATTCCAAGAAATGGATTTTATACGAATTTTTAAAACTTAATCGGCGAAAATTGTGAAATTCGAAAAAATTGTCGATCATTTCAAAAATTTATTTCTCAAGAACTGAAAGTGATTTTTCAAAATGGCTTTTTGCATTAAAAAGAGGATACTTTAATTAATAATCGAAAGTGATAACAGCGACAGTTCTGTTAGTAATGAATGTGATAATGAATTACAACCGAAGAGAAAAAAACTAGACGAGACTGCAACAAAAGATTTTATATATCGTATTGGGATTGTTACAATGAGGTTGCTAATGATACATAATGTTGTATTCAATGAAAAAAGTCCTAGTCGGGTTGAACTTGATTATTATCTGCAGTGCCCAACACCTAAAAGAGAGACTAATTTCCGTGAATGGTGGAATACTAAGTCATAGGATACCGCATAGTTGTCGGATATCCGTTCCACCACTAGTAAATATCATATTAATTGAATGCCTCGGCAGTAAGCGACCTCGGCTTAGGTATCAGTAAAAAGGGTGTGATTTCTTCTGATTACGCCGAGGTTTCACAATTATCATCATATCCAGAACTGTCATGACTTTAGCTAAGGTCTTTTGCGACCAAGGCACTGTAAAAACTGTTAATCAGCTTAGGATGAATATGATATTAATTGTGTGAGTTAGGATTTTTTGTCCCCAAAACAATCAAGTCTTAAAAGAGAAAATTGTCAATGTAGTAATGAGGAAATGAGGATTTGTCTTTCAATCTTATGCCCGAACATCTAAAAAATCGCTCGATAGCATCAACCCATGTTTCTCATAAACGTTAACATTAAAAAGTGTAATACGAAATGTAGTAAGAATATTGTTAGGTCAGAATTAATTTTTTATTCGGCATAAAAGCACCTTTAAATTTTATAGCGTAGTTATGTATAGTTAACAAAATTATTGCATTATCTTGGAAATTTATATATTGATTGAAGCAAATTAAACAAACGGTTTGGTGGCGATACGATACGATAAATTTCCTAAATACTTGATTATATGTTTTTTGGATATTAGTAATTTGTAAATTATTTTAAGAATATGCATATACAAATAATAGTAAAGTAATGTAATCTGTTGACATGATGGTGGCGTCCACAGTAACGTTGTCTGCGTCTATCTCGCGTCAATCACCTTGTTCCCATATAATCGGTTCTGCATCATGGTCGATCCTGATGGTCCGTTTGGTCGGTCCTTGGGTTGTTGCTGTGTCGTCGGTTTCTTAAGCTGTCCTCAGCCTGTGTTCGGTGTCCGTTATACATCACTCAACGCAAGAGAGGACAAATGTGTTATCTCCTCTCGTGGTCTTCGACTGTTGGCGATTCTCCGAGTGAATTGGTATTGAACTGATCCGATCTTGGAGCAACAAGCCCTGTAGACTTGTCCGTCCGTTCTGTCTTTGACGGTAAATGTCCTTTCACTGTTTTGGCATCGAATAAAGTGCAAAGCACAGTAGAAGAAGAAACGCGATGCGTCTTATTGTTGTGAGCGTGGAAAATTGCTCGCTTCCTCCGGTTGTTAACTAAAAAGGAATGGAATTCTAACTAAGCCTATTTCAATTCCTTGATGAGGACCTAGTTCCCATGAAACTAGATATTCTTGAAAGAAAAAGAACACTTGTCTTTTAATTTACCGTTCAATCCGCACTTAATCGACTATCTATCTGGTTGACTGCTTGTTAGATAAATGCAAAGCAGGAGTTATGGTTATTAAAGATTATTCGTATGGGATTATAGTAGGAGGTTTATGTCAAATTAAATATGACTTAAAAACGACTTTTCAAACTAAAAAGCATAAAGAAAGGAACCTATTTCCTTCAAAGAAATTTTTGTTACCAATATTTAAACCTGCGATTCAAGGAGGCTGCAATATCTTGCAGCCAGTGTGGTATTAAAATGATTAATCCGTGATATCATGAAGGCCATTACGCCTTTTCTTGCATTGAATAAAATAATAATCCCCCACTGACACAGGTAATGGCCGCGCTGACAAATACTAATGGGTAAAAAACCGGTAAGCTGTTTTTAATGAAGCCTTAAAGAAGGCGTAATTTAGACAATTATAAATGCGATCCTATCTCCAAACAGAAATTTGTCACACCCCTGCACCGCAGTCCAAACAAGGATCGAACGGTGGAGAGAGATAAAAGGAATTTCTACCTGCAACTGTGGAGAGTCAAAACAAAGAGTCAGGTGCGATACCGTGAGAGAAGACTGGAAGAAAAAAAATCCAAGGATATCGTCGGGTTGATGGCAAAATGTCCTGTGACTAATTCGATTTTAATACTATCGAGTGTAAACAAATTAAAACACAATACTGGGTGGAGATGATGTATGGCCCTGTGGCGTATAATTACGTAACGCAATCATCTGCAGCCGAATTGGACCATTTTTCCTTCAGCTATAAAAAGTTATTAATGGATTGAAGTGTAACGTGAAGGTAGAGTAACGTTCCATTCATCCGGAATGAACCGGACCGGCCACACCCGCTCTCTCATCCCAAAGAATAATATTTAATGCGTTGCTCCTTCTTTTCGGTCCGGCGTAATGGAGTTTATTTACAAAAGGACCGCCGGAGGCCGTTCCAAAAATTAATAGTACAAAGACTCCAACGAGTTTTACAACGACGAAAAATTAACCGACGGAATATACTTTTTAAACGATCCAAAATTGAATCGTTGTATGTTATGAATTATTTATGAAGAATAATACATTTTTTTGATTAACTTTTTAAGTCATCATCACAACACTGAATTTATCGTTCTCATTACCCGTTTATAATAATTATTTAATTAATTATTATATTAACGTAAAAATTTTTAATCCCATATTTATTAACATTTTCCTTGAACAAAAACACAATTACTTAATAGTCGTTTACACGGATTCTTTTCGTGAAGGTCATGGGACAACACATCTTAAGACACGCATAACCCATTGTCTTATAGCAATTACTATTATGATCTGTATCGGTTGGCCAAACCGGAAATGTTATTCTCGCGTGAAGACATATGGGCGCGAAGGGAGCCCAACTTCTTCAACGTTCCCACACTGCCCTTCGCCTTATCGGTTAAGACACGGCAGTTAAAGAAAGCCTTAACGTGCTCGATCGTAAGGTGCTTTTACGACTTTAGGGTTATTTCTGTCTCGGACTGACACACTTTTAGCGGAACTTAAACTTGGATGGGTTACCATCAAATCTTCTTTGGATTCTTCAGGAAATTTGACATATTCATCAAGTTGTTCCGTTAAAAATGTATCTTCCTTTTTATTATGATTACATGATGGTGAATTAGGATATTCGATTACAAAGAGGGAGTCACATAAAGCACCTCCATATTCATCGCTTGAATAAAGCTCTTCTAAACAAGCTACGCTAGTTGTTGCAGTTCCGTTTAGGGTTAAATCGGAAAGGACGTCCAACAATTCTTCTTTGTGGTTAAAAGTTGTTGTTGGCTTTTTCTTTTTGAAGTTACCATCTCCTCGACCTTGATTACATGTTGGTATTTTATCCAAAGATTGTAATAAACATTGAGAATATAGCTTACTTCTTAAAAGAGGTTTCACACAAATCTTTACGATCGCTTCTTTATTCGGGAATCGATTTCTCACAACATTTGTAATTGTTTCGGGGCGTTGATTTAAAAGGCGAGCCTCAACGTATATTCTAAAGGTTTTCCATTTTTCCAACAGCAAATTCGATAAAATCGAAATGACACTGCACATTATGTTTTTTGTGCTAATAAAGATTGTGCAAATTAAATTATAGCAATAACATAGTTTATGAATGCTCGACATGAATTTTTCTATTTTTGGAATATTCACATGTAATTTTTTTTACAAAAAAAATGGTTCAAGTCGATGTCAAAACTGACTTTAAATGAAATAAACATACTAAATTTGTAATTTTTAATATTTTCTCTTATTTTTCAGGATAAACCCCACAAATGTAATTTATGCAGCAAATCGTTCCCAACCCCAGGAGATTTAAGATCACACATGTACGTTCACTCAGGATCGTGGCCGTTCAAATGCCATATTTGCTCCAGAGGATTCTCAAAACACACAAACTTAAAGAATCACCTTTTCTTACATACCGGTAAGTACAAAAGATTTGGAAAAAATCGCGCACAAAATCAATCTGATAAACTTAAAAGTAAAGTTATTTTCACTAAAGTAGGTGAGATTATAATGTATATTTACGGATAAAACACCCTTGTTTCTCTTAGGATTTCGATACATAACGACTCACTACCTGTTGTTGGATAGACAATTTGTCAATAGACTCTGTATTAATACTAGAACTAACACTGGACCGAAAACTACCGTTACCGCGACCTGTAAGATCTATTGTAACTTTAGCCCTCCAAAAGTTTAGGGCAAATGTAGGTCCTTGCTGAACCTTAGTATTGCCCTGAAGTTTTGAACCTTTATGTCGGTAGGTGTCAAGAGAGTTTTACCAAAAATGTTGTGTTTTAGGTGACCTCTGGCGACGCAATTGCACAGTATATGTTCCGCTGTTTCTGACTCGTTGCAAAGTCGACAAGTTTGATCCTCTGTTTGTCCAATGTAGGAGAGGTGGTATTTGAGTTATCATACTCTTCGCTTGTCTGTGACCTGGAAGTTCTTTCCAGCGTAAGGCTAGCTTTGAGACCTCCCAACTGTTGATTATTTAATTTAGGTGGCTTTTTTGTAGTCTACAACCAGGTTGGGGTCCAATGAAGGGCGTGTTCGCTGCCTCTCTGGCCAGCTTGTCCGCCTTCTCATTGCCCTCAATGTTGCTATGACCTGAAACCCACCATAGAGTAACATCATTACCCTTAGCGAGTTTTCTCAGATTGCTGGTACACTCTCTAATCACTGCGGAGTCACACGTGTTGGCCTGAATTGCCTCTAAGGCGGCCCGACTATCTGTGAAAATGTTTATGGATGCACCTTTCTCTCCCTTCTTTATGTTCAAAACGGTGCAGAAGTTTATAGCAAGAACGTCTGCTTGGAAAATTGTTATGTCAGAGCTGAGGGGCAGTTTAATGTAGTTATTTGGTCCACTGATGCCCATACCTACTCCGGTTCTAACTGTCTTTGAAGCATCGGTGTACCAGGCTAGGGCTCCTCTGTTTAGTTGAGGCTCACCCTTCGCCCAATCACCCCTGCATCTAAATATGACCTTATAGAGCTGGTTGAAATTGTATTCTGTCGGTATAAGGTCCGTGTTAATTTCAATTAGGTGATTAAGACATAGATCCTTGATCCTCACCAAACCAATGAGACGTAGGCGACCATAGGTCTGGCCCAATGAGCCATTGCTGGTTTGAAATCCCAGTTCCTTTGTGGTGTGAGTTCCAGTTTAGTTTACTGTCTAGTATTACCCCTACGTATTTAATTTGTTTTGAGGTTAATAGTTCTGCTTTCAATGGAGGGTGCTTTTATTTGTAGCTTCCTTCTCCGAGTGAAGAGAATATTTCGATTGAGCCCATTGCTTCTACACCAAGTACTGATGAGTAATAGGGCTTTAGTTCTGCATTAGTTGAGTTATGATTGTATCATACAGGGTCCGGCAAAATGATCTCCCATATTTTAATCTTTAATAAAAACGCTATTATAAATGCTATTTAACTTTTTATTTATTAACTGAAAATGTATGCTATGCCATTTGTTTTTATTAAGTTTTGAAAATTACAGAGTCCAAGTGGCGACCATTTTTTTCGATACACATTCGAAGCTGATTTCTGTAAGTTTCGATCACTCGAGCAGTAATTTGAGGCGATATTCCTGTAATTTGTGTTGAAAAACCTTCGCTTTCAGATACCTTTGGATTTTAGGCCCCAAAGGAAAAAGTCGCATGGGGCAAGATCGGCCACCCAACGTCTCCACGTAACGAGATTACGTGTCCTGAAAACATTTCCCTTAAAACGTCGATTGTCCTTCTTGCCGTATGAGTCGTAGTTCCATCCTATTGAAACCACACATCTGAATGTTCAAGTTCTCTAAGTTTTGGTTCCAGAAAATTGCGTAGCATGTCAACATATCAATCGGCAGTTACGGTAACCGTTACGCCTCCCTTTTCAAAAAAAATAGGAACCCCATATGCCAAAAGATCCAACAGCACACCAAACGGTAACACGTGGGCTGTGAAGTGGCCATTCATGAAGCTGCCACGAATTTTCTGGTGCCCAGTAGCGAAAATTCTGCTTGTTCACACAGCCAGACAAATGGAAAGGAGCTTCGTCACTCGTTATCAAAAGAGCATTTTGTGGGACGTTTTGAAGAAAACCGTTGGAACTAAGTTCTTGCACAATCAACATTTAATGGGTGGAATTTCAGATCGGTGTGTAAAATTCTTCTCACAGAACGATCTGACAAACGCAAAGCAGAGGTATGTTTAGCTACTGAACGGGTAGGAGATCGTTCAAGTGCTTCTCTTACAGCTGCAACATTTTCAGGCGACCGAGCACTTCTGCGTCTACCAAATGATTTTTTTAAGGCTGAACCTGTGGCTCTAAAATTTGAAACCCACAACAGTATTGTTTTGCGATTTAGAACCGGATCATGTCTACAAAGCTCGAAGTGAGTACGAAAAGCTCTTTGCGTCGTAATCAACGATTCGTTTTTTTTTAATAAATGTTTCGATAATGAAGGCACGATGCTCGCTCGTCCAATTCATGACTGTTCATGACAACATAACAAATGGCAAGGGGTGAACTACCAACCAAATACGCTAACCTCCCCCATTTTTCAGTAATTCGGGCACAGTGGCGTTGCAAAATGTGGGAGATCATTTTGCCGGGCCCTGTATTTACCGCGGATCGTGATTACTAGGTCATCAGAATATCCCTGAATCTTGAATCCATTTTTTGTTAGGGTGTTCATCATGTCATCAACTACCAGGCACCATAGTAGAGGTGATAGCACTCCCCCTTGGGGACATCCTCTTAACGCTTTTATAGTCAACGACTCGCCTCCTAGACTGGCTGTGATCTACCGACTTTTCAACATGGCTATACACCTTTTGATTGTCGACGGATGTATATCTTTTACGTATAGAGCTTTCTCTATGAATTCATACGAGGTGTTATTAAAAGCACCGTCTATGTCTATGAAAGCCCATAAGGCTATCTTTATGGTTGCAATTGCCTCCTGTAAAGTGCTAGTCAAAGCATCTAGAGCAGTAATTGTTCATTTTTCTTTATAGTAAGCATGTTGGCTAGGGTGGAGTGGATTAGTGACAAGTACTTCATTCCTAAGGTATTGATCGATTACATTTTCCATCCCTTTAAGGAGAAATGAAGTTAGGCTAATTGGTCTGTATGCCTTGGGGTCGGTGTTTGAACGCCTACCACCTAACATTCGGATTTAGTTACACGTCTCTCAAGATGGCTAAACCCGAATGATGCTAGTTCTAGGTCTTGTGTTAGTTCTAGTGATAGTGCAACATAGAAATATCTTATGCTAACTAGCGCTAACTACCACTGTCACTAGAACTAACATTAGACCTAAAACTAGAAACATTCAGGTTTAGCCGTCTTAAGAGACGCACTAGTTCTACTTTTCTTTCAATAAAAATATACCACAATCTAATGCTAAATACATTTAAAACTAGCACTGACACTAGACCTAGAAACATTCGGGTTTGGCCGCACGCCTCTCAAGACAGCTCAATCCGAATGATTCTAGTTCTAGGTCGTGTGTTAGTGCTAGAAACTAGAAACATTAGGGTTTAGCCGTTTTAAGAGACTTGTGGCTAAACTCAAATGTTTCTGGTTCTAGATCTAATGTTAGTTCTACCTTTCGTTCAATAAAAATATACCACAATCTAACACTAAGTAACAATTGAAACTAGAACTAACACTAGACCTACAACTAGAAACATTCAGGTTTAGCCGTACGTCTCTCAAGACGGCTAAACCCGAATGATTCTAGTTCTCGGTCTTGTGTTACTTCTAGTGTAAAACTAGAACTAGAAAGTATCTTGAATGCTTCTAGTTCTAGGTCTAGTGTTAGTTTTAGTTTTAGTGTAATAAAAATATGCAACATAGTGATATCTTATGCTAACTAGCGCTACCTACCGCTGTCACTAGAACTAACAGTAGACCTAGAACTAGAAACATTCAGGTTTAGCCGTCTTAAGAGACGCACGGCTAAAGCCAAATGTTTCTGGTTCTAGGTATAGTGTTAGTTCTACTTTTCTCTCAATAAAAATATACCACAATCTAACGCTAAACAACATTTGAAACTAGAACTAACACTACACCTACAACTAGAATCATTCGGGTTTAGCCGCACGTCTCTCAAGACGGCTAAACCTGAATGATTCTAATTCTAGGTCTTGCGTTAGTTCTAGTGATAGCGTTAATGTAAAGCTAGAACTAACACTAGACCTAGAACTAGAAATTATCGGACTAGCAACATACAGGTTTAGCCGTCTTAAGAGATGCACGGCTAAACCCGAATGTTTCTGGTTCTAGATCTAGTGTTAGTTCTACTTTTCTTTCAAAAAAAATATACCACAATCTAAACAACATTTAAAACTAGAACTAATACTAGACCTAGAACTAGAATCATTCGGGTTTAGCCGTCTTGAGAGACGTGAATTATATCAAAGATTTGCTAACTGAAATTAAATCACGAAAAATTATAATAATTGTCCCGCCATATTCTTATCAATTCGAATCTTGCACATACTTGCTCATATGGGAACGCCCGAGGGAACAATTGCGTTTAAGACCGACACCGCGCAAGGCAAATTGACGGTTACATATCGGACAAGAGCTGCGATCTGCATATCTTCGGACTCCTTATCAGGATTCTCTTTAAAGAACTCGACTGCAATTTCCGGCACGCGGGGAAGGTTATGCCTCGTTTTTATATCGCGAAATTAACGGGTGCTGCAACGTTTTTTGAACCGCCTTAAAGGGCTTTGATGTTATTTTTGAACGTAAAACAGGAATTGCGTACAGGTATGAGATAATCGCTTGAAATCTGCATAATATTTGCTTTAAAGCGATTGTAGAATTTTAATATGATATATTACCCTGTTTTATTATGTTGGAATGTAATATTAATAATCTTGGTTGGAATTAGTACTTGGATATGCGATTTAATTTCTTTGCAGCAAAACTTTCTAAAAATTTCATAAATGCAGTAAAATTCCTCTGAGGTAGTTATAACTGCCCAAAAATT